ATGAGCATTAACACATGGATTCTGAAAGTATCTCAAAGATGGGAGCATACCAAAGAAAACAATCTGACTTTATTATTACCTTTTTTAAAAAAAGATGATCAAAAGAATATTAATAACTACCAGCCCATATTCCTATTTTCCCATCTTTATACCATTTTATGATACTAGTCTATGCACTCATCAACAGCATCTTTGATAAAAATATGAGAAGGAAACTGGTAATGCTTTTGTAAGTAATAATTGACAGCAGGCCACATCTTTATAGTCACACAACTGACTGAATGAAAGATATGGGAAATATAAGATCCCATTGTTCACTGACCACAAAAAGGCATTGATTTGATAGACCATCACCTCCTCCAAAAGGCATTACCCATGAATTTGTCAAAATCACACAAAATTCCTTGAAAGATATTGCAGCTGAGATAATTTTATTTGATCCTCTGTTAATACCAAGCCAGACATAAAATGAGGCAGACTTACCAAAGATGCTTGCCACCATCATTGAGCATGTTCAGAGTAGAGTCCAAATGGAAGAAGGATTCCTTGAGGGTGCTGAAGTTCTTCGCATGTTCCTATTTGCAGATGACATTGTGTTGATTTCATATGCCCTGGAACATTACAGGACTTCTTAAATGAGCTCTACAGTGACTTGCAAGAGTTCAGCCTAACTCTTCACATGGCAAAAACTAGTTGATGGAGCATGCCTTTTGTCCAGACTGATTTATAGTTGGATAGACAGTCCATCAGCCCATGTGCTTTGGACAGACACTAAATGAACAGGGAGCTGGACCCAGAATTGAAAAGCAGAGGGGCCTAAATTCTAGCCTTTGGGAAACTGCATAGTACTTTTCATGAGCAACAACTTCTCCCTGAGAATCTTTAACAATATTCTTCCAGAGTCTTAGAATACCACGGTCACTGAGGAATTAAAGTTATTCAGAGGTCATCTGAGAAGCCCAAGGTGGCTTTTCCAATGTACTGAAGCTTGTAAGACATCATCCAAGAATTGTGCAAGAAGATGTTGTCAAAGAGACGTGAGACTAGAAGAGGTGGTTCCGTCATGTAAGAGTGAGAGATGGCTAATGATAGCCACCCCAATGTGTAGTTCACTGGTATTCATACGACATCATGGAATTTAGAGGAAGGCCCTTGACAGGATATGTGGAAGAGCAAGGACAAGTATTGCTCAGGATGAGAGGCCATCGATGGGTTGTGGTCCCTGTTGTTGGAGGAACTATCCACATTGATAAGATCACAGGTTCACAGCAGTAGTATTAGTTAATTATTTCTCAGTTGGAATTTCTTGTCCTCTCCCATTTGTCCTTCTAATAAAGTTTATAGTATGGTAGACCCATAGTCCTTTGGTGAACTTCCCACAAAGCTTCTGAGATGCTAAACAGATCAGGCTAAATCACTGGTTTGCAAGCACCTGTCTTTGTTTTTTTTTTTCTTCTAGAATCAATTTATGGTTCTTCTAGAACCATTTATATGTTCCATCTTTTTATTTCCTTTTTTTTTGGTGAGGCAGTTAGGGTGAAGTGACTTGCCCAGGGTCACACACCTAGTACGTGTCAAGTGTCTGAGGATGAATTTGAACTCAGGTCCAAAACTGGAGCTCTATCCACTGGGCCACCTAGCTGCCCCTATATGTTCCATCTTGAATCAGTTGTTACAAATGGTATGGGTTTTTTAACCAATCATATTAATTTTATCTAAACATATTATTTGGAGGAAAAACAACTTTTCACCTGTGTTGCTTGGTGATTCCATTAGCTCTCATGGATTCAATGATCATCTCTAGGCTGAGAATCTACTTATCTTATTATCAGATCTATTTATCCATATCTAACCTCTCTTCTGTCTGTAGTCTTTCATCTCCAACTCCCTATCACAATCTGGAACTAGATGTCTGATAAACATTTTAAACTCACCCAATCCAAAACAACCCACTAACACCCCAACCCTTCTCCACTTCTAGACTTTCCTATTTCAAGGTCAAGGGTGGTGCTACTCTCCCAGTCACTCAGGCTCACTGCCTAGCTGTCATCTTTGACTCTTCCCTCACTCCCTCTCACTCCCCACATCTAATCTGTTGCCAAGTACCATCATTAACATGTCTCATATATGCTCCCATTCTTTCCTGACACCATCAGACTCTCCCCTAAAACTTCTCAATGTAGTAACCTTAGGCTTTCCAAGAAACCGTACGTTCGGAGGAACAGCAGGCAGCTCATAGATAAACTTCTTTTAACTTGTAGTATATTATCCCCTCCCACCTCTTTCCAGGCAACTAAAAGAAGAAACAAAATTTAAAATGAGTCTATCAAAGCAAGCACTCTGCCAAAGTCTCCCCTACTCATATTTGCCAAAGAGGATACCTCAGACATTTACTGAAAGTTTACAAAAAAAGCAAGTAATTCTATTTCTTTTTGCGGACACGAACAAAACGACTGGGCTATGGCAACATTTAGAAGAATTATTTTTGCTCATTTGAAAAGAGACAAATCCAGGTGTGAACAGCAGACGTTGGTATAGGACTCTGAAAATGGACCTTGACAAATAGATAGCTGCTTCTAAATAAAATTCAGTTCACAATATATGCAATTAGTTCATCATTGGTGTCAAAAGTCCTGGGATAGAGTCCCAGCTTCATTGCTATCCATCACTTATTAGCTATGTGACCCTAGGTAAGTTATTTGATATTTCTAAGCCTCTGTTTCCTCATCTGGAAAAAGGCCATAAGATATTTTTACTACTTTTCACCATAACTGACCTCCAGAGTTGTTATGGGAATAAAAAATTGCAAGATCATAAGGTGCAAAGAAAATGTGAATGTATTTCCTCCCAGTTCCTATTTGTTCCTTGCCACAGCCTTTGTTTCTTTTTCCCTTGGAGGAGTGGAGGATTTTTTGGTCTTACATTATGAAGCAGTAAGGAATGTGGCTTTGCAGCTTTGTTGGTTATGTAAATACCCTCTGTGTAAAGTGAGGTGTGTATAGACCTATAGCTCCCACTAGTGAAGGAAAAACTACTTTAGAATCTGGGGGGCATATTATTCAAAGGGAAATATAATTTATACAACATTTTGACATATTTTGTATAAATCTGTGAAGGTTTATCAATGTTTAAACTCATTAGCCATTTAATTTCTGAGCTGCAACAGCACATATTGCTCATTCCAGCTGCCTAATCTTGAGCTACCTTTCTTCTGCCAAGTGCAATAGATTAGAATTGTATTGTCTCTGAATTGGCAGCCAAAACAGTTTAACCTTTTGTTATAGTATCTTGGTTTTAGAACCAGAAGGGACTTAAGAGCCCCTCTACTCCACATTCAGCCCCTTTATTCCGAATTTCTCATTTTGCAGATAAGGATACTGAGGCCCAGAGGGAAAATGGCTTGTCCACAGACAAGTACTGTAATAATGGCTGAGACAGGATTTTGGAACTCAGATCATCTGATTTCAAAATTACAGTGCTTCCCACCCCCCCATTATGCCACAATTCTTTTGTGTATTTTCTCTTAGCCTGTTTTTTAATGGTTAAGATTACAAAATGATTAGTGACTATAATGATACATTTAAATAAAACATCTTTGAGCAGGTGTTGACCATTCTTAATAGCTAAAGATACAAAACCTTAAAAAGTATCATGATTTATGTTTTCCTCAGAAGCATTTGCGGCTGTAGAGAAAGAAATGTAGCTGACTTTTCCCATATTTTTCTTGTTCCTTTTATTTTGTATCCTTTCATCTAAGTGTAAAAAAAAAAACCAAACCCAACAATACTTAATCTCCCAAGCTCTTCTGTTCATTTTAACATTTGGAAAAATCAAAAGCGTTTTCTTTTCTATGTTATTTTTCCATTCTAACAATGAAAAAATCTTGTATCTTGTAAAAATTACACGGCATATGTGTGTGTACCCACCCAGAGCCAGATTTTTCTTTCTAGGTGTATTGGATGTAGCAGAGTACTCCTTGGTTATGAAGAGGAGGAACATTTCTTTCATTTCCATTCCCTGGTTTCTTTGCTCTAAAAGCTCTCCCCTTAGTTAGCCCATAGCTTCTAGGTAACACAATTACATAAACTGCTTAGGAAGCAGCAAAAAGATGGTAGGAGCTTGTTCTGAAGAAAACAGGGAGGCACATTACCAGCTTTAGTTTAGTCATGATCTCTAAAAAGGAGTAAAATTTTCTATCCTTTTTGTAAACCTACATACTTCAAGGGCATCAATGCTAGTATCCTCTCCATCAATGCATATTGCAACTGCAGCTCTCCTCTTTGTCACTCACACACAATTGGGAGATTATCTCATGAATTTTTGTGATCAAAAAATCACTCAGTTGGTGATAAGCCATTATAAGCTTAGACCATTCCTCAGACGATAGACATAAAGTCTGTTGTAAGGCCTTTTCTCTAAGTCTTTTCACCTTAGAAAATTAGGAACAGCCAGAGATTGTGTTTTGCTGGCATTGCTTTTGAGATTCCAGAGTCATCTCCTTGCAAAGATGAGACAGCTGATGACAGGTTCTTTTTCAATTTGACTGTAACCACATTTCCAATCTGTAAGTCACAGAGACGAATACTACCTAAGGATGATTGTTTTTTCTTTTTGAGGATAAAATAACTTTAAAATTTGGGGAGGTTTTCTCAATATTTGAAAAGGAATGTGATTTATATAATTCTTTCTCTACTTTCTAATCTTCTATAGCACACATTGCTGTACCATGCATTATGGTGCTTGATTATGTTCAATTTCTTATTGCCTCTAATTGTTTCATGTGTTTAAGTATTATCACCTGAATTGGTTCCTTAAGAGCAAGTAGCATGTTTTATTCATTTCTGTTGTTGGTCTTTCCTATTCTCCATATCTTAACATAGTTCAGAACACAAATTGGTATATGATAAGTATTTCTTGAACCCTGATATTTGTATAGAGCTATAAGTGAGAGAGTAAAATGCTTTGGAGTGGTTTTCAATTCACTAATTTTCCTTTCTTAGATTTAAAGGTACAGTGGAAGAACTTAGCAGCCAGATTTTGTCTGCACGGAATTGGTTGCAACAGGAGCAAGAACGGATAGAAAAAGAACTTTTGCAGAAAATTGATCAACTTGCCTTGGTTGTTAAGGAAAATAGTGTAGGTATCTGTTATTATGTTTGTATTACCTAATAAAATGACATTTAAAAATCCATATTAAGGATTGTTTTGGTTATACATACCAACTAGCTGTTAGTTTACTTAATTTTATGTAAATTTTTAGGGTTTTTTAAATCATAGTCTTTTTCTGTATTTTGTATTTTACTTTAAAGAGACAAAGGGACTTAGATTTGTTTGGGCTTATTTATCCTGTATGGATAGATAAATTCAGGGACTTTGGACTAAATAAATTTAATTTGGGGTTATCCAAATTGATCATCCCCATTAAGCAAGTAAACCAAGTAATGCCAGCTATTATCTTTTTGACGTTGGGCTTTGTAGACACCTAACCTCAGAGATCTATTTTTGGCGATTCTATTATCCTTGAGTAATTTTTGTTTGCCCTAAAATCAAATATATCTGAAGAAGTTATATTTAAAAAAGTAGAGACAAAATTATAGCTGCCATTATTTTTCTCATTTGCTTCTGTCATTGTGCTTAAGGACTCCTAGTAACTGCTCAGAGTTCCACAGACTAATTTGAAAATTTGGTGTAGAACAAATTTTGCATATGTAGTGATTCAAAGAGAATGATGATTGCTGAAATAGCTCCCAAGATATTGCAGATAGTCAAGAATTCCTAAGCTCTGGCTTTTACATGGACTTGGTTCTGGCTTAGAGGATGTCCTTCCTCTCCTCTCCCTCATAATGCTCTTTAGTTCTTTATGTCCCCACCCAGAGTTTACTCCAGGAGACTTTTAATATAAACTCAGATGTGGCCTAGGTTTCTACAGATGTGGGTAAGATATTTCCAACGAGGCACTTAGATTCCCTCTTAGCTCTTATGTGCTTCCAGGACCTTTTTGGAAGAAAAGGAAAAAGGTCTCATGCCATGCTTTAATAGGTCGGCACAAATAGGTGGCTCCTCCCTCAACAGCCTCTATGGGGCATGTCCACACCTTCCCTAGGAAGATACAAAGTCCCAAACAAAGATTAACTACTCTACAGCTTAAGTTGATCAGGGAACTTCCTTGACCAACCAGCTATACATCTGATTTTCAGAAGTTAATGGGCAGCAAAACTCTTTGGGTAATTCATTTTTATTAGTTTTTAACCTTAGCATGACACAGTGAATTTGCAATCATAGGCCTTGTGATTGGACCAAAGTTTTATAATAATATCTCAGTGATCTTGGCTAATTCCCTTTACCTCTCTAGGCTTAATCTCTTCATCTGTAAAATAAGAGGTTGTGCTTGATAACTTACATGATTCCATGATCACTTATCAGCATTATCCCTCCATTTTCCTCTTAGCCAACCCTTTCTCCTGCTAATTTGTGTTTTGTTTTATCATTAAGCTAAGAAAAGTATTTGCTTGCTAGAAATACTCTGAGCTCATGTTTACAAACTTCTGGCACATGGTAGGCACTTGTGGATTGAGATATTTGCTTGTTGATTGATGATTGATTTGGTCAGTACAGTTTGACACAGGTCTCTGTTCTCCCCAAATTCAGTGCTCCTGAATTGACCATGCATGAATCTGGGTTAGTAATGAAGAAAATCATCAATGACTGGTTCCCTCTAATTTTGCCATACCACAGCCAGCATATTTGGGACTCTTAGACATGGCCTCCATGAACCAACTCTTAAAGTAAGACAAGCAGGGAAAAAGACTTATCAAGTTCCCTTCAGATCATCTGCTGGAATCCAACTGACCCATAGTTTGACATGCATTAGATTCACATTGATTTCTTTAGACTTTGGGTATATGGAACTTATACTCCTCACCCTCTCCCTCCGTGGAATCAGGTGCCAACTCCTGTCACTGAGCCTATCTCCATTGTAGCTCTTAGGTTCCATCATCTCTAATCATATTACTGTTACTCTAGGTCCTGACTTGGACTACTATTCCCCCCTCCAATCCATCCTTCATGCAACTGCCAAAATAACTTTCCCTAATACACAGATCTAATCAGGGTAACTCCCCTAATTCAAAAACCTTCAGTGCCTCCTTAATGCCTAGAGAAAAAGAGACAAACTCCTTAGGGTGGTTTTCAAGGCCCTCCATCCCCTGCTGCTGGCCTTATTTTACAAGACTTGCATTTTCTATGCCTTCTCCTACCCTTTTGCTGACTCTTTCTCCTTTATGCCTGGAAAGCACTTCGTATCTCTACCTTTTGAAATCTTTTACTTCCTTAAGGATTAACTTAGTTGCCATTTCTTTTATTCTCTGATCCCTTCCAGTTGAAAAAGATTTTCCTGCATCTCAAACTTTCTTCTAGTACTTCCTGTCTCTGTATCTTTCACCTTGAACACTCCGTCTCTCCTACCTTCTCTATTACTGTAGAGGGCAACACCATCTTCTCAGTCCCTCAGGCTCACAACCTAGGAGTCATTCTGGGCTCCTCACCATCTCTCACAACCTCTCCCCCATCTCCAAGCTATTGGCAAGGCCTGTCAATTTCACCTTTTCAACATTTCTCGAATACATCACCTTCTCTTCTCTGACACTGCCATCACTCTAGTGCAGTTCCTCATCACCTCCGACCTGAATTATCATAATAGCTTGCTGGTGGGTCTGCCTGCCTCTAGTCTCTGCTCACTCCCATCCATCCTCCATTCAGCTGCTAAAGGATTTTCCTAAAGCCCAGGTCAGACCATGTTCCCTACTCAGTAAACTGCAGAGGCTCCCTATTGCCTCCAGGATCATATACAAAATGCTGTGTTTAACATTAAAAATCCTTCATAACCTAGTCCCCTCTTACCTTTCTAGTCTTCTTACACCTTAAAACCACATACCTTTACAACTTAAAACCCAAAACCCTATACTCTTTGATCTAGTGATGCTGGCCTCCTGGCTGTTCCACAAACAAGGCACTTTGTTTCTCAGCTGTGGGCATTTTCTCTGCTTGTCCTCCATGCCTGGAATGCTCTCCTTCCTTTGCTCAGACTACTGACCTCTCTGGCTTCCTGTAAGTCCCAACTAAAATCCCACCTCCTATAGGAAGCCTTTCCAAATCTCTCTTAATTCTAGTGCTTCTCTCTCCTATTTAGCCTGTATGTCTCTTGCATTGTATATATTTGTTTGCATGTCTCCTTTATTGGATTGTAAGCTCCTTGAGGGCAGGAACTGTTTCTTTTTCTTATTTATATCACTGGTGATTAGCACAGTGCCTGGAACATGGTAGGCACTTAATAAATGTTTGATTGATTGATTTTTTGCCCTTATATTATTCTCATTTTTATATGTCTGCTTTCTTTCCCACTTTCTCAATTCTTCATTGGATAATTTTCTTTAAGGCAAGAATTGTTGTTTCCAGTCATTTTTAATTATTCTATCCTCATTGCCTAGTACCATACCTTGAATATTGTAGGTGCTTAACAAATGTATTACATTTAATTGGCCCATTATTTATGTCCATGTCCAGCATAGTAATTAAGTGACATCAATACTCCCCACATGGAATGCAGTTTCATTCCTGAAGTGATTAAGTGCAGTTATTTTCATCCATCCTAGGAAATCAGTGAAAGGACCATGGAGAAAAAGTTCAGTCAGATGTCAGCAAAGCTTGATAAAATAGAAGAGATACAGAAGAAAAACATGGAAGCACAGAGACTGAAATCTGATGATGAGAAGATCAATATCCGGATCAGTAAGATTGAATTGCAGATGAATGAAGAGATGAAAGAAATGAAAGCAGAAGTCAATGCTGGTAGAGCAAATAATATATAATTATAGTTTATGTTCTCTTTGATGTAAAAACAAAATAATTTGTATCATTCTCTACAATCTTCTAGAAACTATGTCAGTAGTAAAAGTAAGAAAATAAATAAAAGTAAATTAATATTTACTGTATCAATAGTAAAAGTAAATTTACATTTACTATGTTAATAGTAAAAGTAGTATCCCAAAAATATACCAAGCCACTTTCCTGAACAGTTATGGTGTATTAATATATAAAAACGGTTTTGAAATTCCATACAGACAATTACCCTTTGCTGGCCAAAGTAAGCTATTGCCATGCCAGCATTTTGTAAAGGACTATGTTGGGAACCAACTTGTGGTAGCAACTTAACTTGCCTCTTTAGGTTTCATCTTTTAGTCAAACAGACAGCAAGTAAGTTGCTAGCATAATATCCAAGGTCTTATTATGATGCAGAAATCAGTATACACCTTCCTCTGCCTTTTAGGGTATAAGGAAATCTAGTCTTTCATGCTTCTGGGGCAGGAAACTTGATTTTCAACATATTTCAAAGACCTGCTTGTGCTACTTGGAATTAATTCTCCATATGTGCTAATTTGTTTTTCTTTTGTCAGGTGGAAAATAAAATTATTTATTAGTTCAGGAATGACTTTGTTGAAAATGTTAAAGGTTTAATACTATTTTGAAAGCTAGAAACTGACACTCAATGTATAAATTAGATAATTGCTTGGTAATATAGTTCTGTAGAAACTACTTTCTTGGGTTATGATATTGTCCAAATAGGTTATTGAATTACTTAGGGAAATGTGTATTGGATTATGTCATAGTATAATTAATTCTTGTTGGAGTATTTTATTAGCATTTAATTTTGTGTAATTTCATGAATTAGTTTATGGGCATACTTTCAATATACCACTGAGGGAATTAATAATAAGTGGCACAGGGAATGTTAGTGAGTCTTTCCCTAACCATTTCCTAAAAAGTTACTTTTCAGTGTTAGAGTCTTTTAAATATAAGGTTGAAACTTCATTTTGAACTTGTTTCTGCAATCAGTAAGATTACATTATAATCAAAATTTTTATTTTGATATAGAATTTAGCCTTGATACAGAATTTGCAAATTTTTAACTTTTGTGAAATTTCCATCTTTATAAGGGTTTGCTGCCATCTATGAAAGCATAGGATCACTCAGACAAGTTCTTGAAGCCAAAATGAAACTTGATAAAGACCAGATACAGAAGCAAATCCATCAGCTAAAGAAACAAGAGGCTCCCATGTAAAGAGATTTGGGACAGTGATGATCTAAAAGAAGAGCTTGTTAGTGGGGCTAGGAGCCTGGATGTTTGTCAGTATGGTTTGCTCTCCCGAGGATGTGCATGTATGAAACAACGTGTCATGGGCCTAAATTTTTAACTTGCGTTGTGAAGACAATCTTTAGGTAAGAAGAGTAAGTACATTTTTTATAACTTAATTTCACTTATGAATATAAATTCTATGGAATTTGTTCCATTTTGGAAAGGCTTTTATTCATTTTAAGATTGAAAACTCTTCAAAATATTTTTCTTCTGTGAATTAAAATTTTAAATTATTATGGTAACACTTTAAGACTGTTTAGCATTTTTAAAATGTCAGTATGGAGGTTTATGTTAGTAAGCTAATGAATTTGTTAGAGCAGTTGTTATGCAAAAGATTTCTCTTGACAGAAGAGATAATTCAATGTTTAAGTCCATGTTTGGATTTTATTGTTGTCTCTACATTCCCTGCTTTGTTTCCTTCCTTTAATTCTTCTTTCCCTTTCCCTTGGACTTTCATGACAATTTGAGTTTTAATTTAAAAAAATTGCAATTTATTCTATTTGGATTCAATACTACTGGAATCCAATTCAAACGGTATAAGGGATTCATAATGCTTCTTCAACTGCCATATTAGTATCTGTTTGAAAATCAAGTAGACAATCAAGATAATTTTCTGGAAAATGCAGAGCCAAACATTTCTTGAATTATCTGGATATTTCAGATGCCTAAAACAAAACATGAGTTACCTGAATATTTTTTGGCTCTCCACAGCTTGTATGATGAGAACCTTATTCTTTATAATGGAATTATGGCTCACGATAAGCTGTTTATGCAGAATTCCACATTAACTACAATATGATATGAAGGTTTTTGAGAATTTTTATGAACCATTTCCTAAATGTTTCGAAAATGAAACTTAAAAATCTAGAAAAATACTTTGTATATTATAATAATTATTGTAAGTATATTATTGTGCCTTGTTTTTGTTACGTCGATGCATTGTACACTGAAGGTTTTGCTGACAAAATAGAAGGCATGATAATTCAAAAATGTGATGTAAAAATGAGATGCTATGTATTTTAATTGTATAATGTACTAGAAATTTTATCATTGTTAAAATATGATACTTCAGTATATTCTTTAATGAAATAAATAATTCATACTTTTGTATGGACAGGGATTCAAGCTAGCATTGAATTTATAACATTGTTAAGATATTTTCATCCAGATGAATGAATTTTTATGTTTTAGGTGTATTATTTTCAATTGCTACATTTAATTATAAATTGAAAATTAACACCTATGTTGTAATCTAATCTAGATGCTTATAAGTCTATGGATGTAAGATCTATACTGAGAAAACCGTTCTAAACTGTGAGGGTGCTGTAGAAAAAAATAAAAATAGGGATTATTTTAAATTTTTTGTTACTTTATTTTATTTTATTTTATTTTTTTGCTAAGGACTCAGGAAAAGAAGCACCTTCTGTTTTTAAGATTAGTCATAAGTGAATCATTTAACTGGCTACTACTGTTTGTACTTGTAAAATATGCTACTAAAACACATAACATTTTTTCCTCCTTGCCTCGGCAAAGATTAAAATAGCCCCTAGCATTAGATAGATGACATTAGTAGTTGTAAACATTTGGCCACCAACCTATATTTTCTTTACTTTGATTCCAGCCTCTAAACGAATGTCTATGGCTGTGGCAGCTCTCTCCTCTACAAACCACCAGAATTGTTTCTCCTGTTGAGGTAGAAACCAATCCTAGTAGAGCCCTTGGGTCCTCTCTAATAGGCACATGGTGATTGGGAGCAACTGGCTGGGATGTGGTGAGGGATGCTGTAGTGGTTCCTTCTCTCCTCTGGGGTGACAGGGTATGTGAGGTCTTCCTTCTCAGGCTTGTCTGAGCAGGATGGTTGGAGTACGTGTAAGTTGGCCAGACACACGACAAGGATCTTGTGACACCCTGGAGTCCAGGATCCTATGCCCATGGTTCTTTTCATATCCTTGGATCCAGGATACAGGCATGGGATTGAGCATCTGGGGAAATGGGTTAGTTTGTTAGGGCTTCATTCGGGGCGGCACAGCTTTACATATACATATGCTAAGCAAGGAGAAAAAACGCCAGTCGCTACAAAGAAAACAATATTCTTTGAAAGTATGAAATTATTTTATCTCTTTGGCATCAAAGTCATTTAGACCAATTCCCTTTCAAGCCAGGTACACAGGATAAATGGTGATGGGAGCTTTGTCTTTCCTTAGCTGTTGATCTGTCCGTTCCTGAGGAGGGAGCATCAGTATCCATGAACTTCTTTAAAAGAAGTGGTGAATACCAAATGAGGTTCTTAATGAAGGAGAGACCACATGAAAGCAGATGATTATCAGCTGTGTGCTGAATTTCTCAGGTGCTTCTGATATCATGGTCCTTCATGTAATGAACTATATTGTATTCTTATCACCAAAGTTTAAATGTAAAACATCTCCAATGTTATTTTCCTTTTCCAGAAATTTGTAATAAACAGTGCCATAAAAACCCCACATGTAAATTCTACGTATGGTTTTAATAAAAAAAATGGTTAAATTTGATGTGTGGACTTAACTCTGTAGAATGCTTAGTTTCCATCGATGCTATATGTTCATTAAGCTGTCTGTCTATATGGATTCCTCAGTGGTACAAAATTCTCCATATATTCTTTACACTGTCATAGTGCCTGTGTTGTGTGGTTGCCTTGTTACAAATTCTTATATTTTTAAGTAACTAAATCTCTTTAGGAGGGTCCAAAATAGATGAGATAAGATATACTGAACTCCACCCTATAGATGTTACAATGAACTTTTAAATTTATAACGGATGTATAAGGGACAATTTTTATTTCATAAAAATCTCATTGATTTAGTTGATACAATGGCTTCCTCATGCTGTTGCATAAATGTATCATGCAAAAAGATATCACTAATAGTATATTTGGTTGGGTTTTTTTTTGCAAATCACATAACTTTTCTTTAATATAAGACTGTAATGCAAAAGTCTAAGGGTTCACTAAGTACTGGTCCTGCAGATGGATGCATATTATGGATCACAGGGTAAAGAGTGGGAATTTAAGTACAGTGAGACAAGACTGAGTGTACAGAATAGAGAAGGGGTATGGGAAAAAGTTGGACTTGGGCCACTTTGTAGAAACTAGTGGTAAAAGTTTTAATCTGAAGACTGGAAGCAGGTGAGCAGTCCAGAGTAAAGCACGAGCAAAGTCATGGGTCATTTCCAGGAGGACAAGCAGAATTCAGAGGATATACAAATGTTACAGATCAGGGCAAATAGTAGATTGGAAAGCAGGCAGAAAAGATCGGCATGTTCAAGAAGTAAATTATATAGGATTCAGTCAGCACCTCTATTAGGCAGCTAATTTTCAGATTTATCTATCCAGCTTTAATCTTCAGCTCAAACTGTGGTCCCACATTTCCAAGTACATACTGGACATCTCCCCATTAATGCCCCAATTCATACCTCAAAATGGACATGAATTCATATCTTTCCCTTTTAAATCCACCTCTCTTCTGAATTTCCTTGTTTCTTTTGAGGATGCTAAAATGCTCTCATTAAATTCATAGCCTCAGAATCATCTTTTCATTTTTCCCCTCTTCCTTTCTCAAGCCACATATCTATTTGCCAGAATTACCTTCACAAGATACAGGTATGACTATATCACTCCCTTGTTCAAAAACCTTCAGTGACTTCCCATTGTCTTTCCCATTGACAAGTCGAAAAAGTGCTTTTTGAACCTTAAATTGCTATTTAAATATAGATTATAATCTAGTTGGTATAGTGGAAAGAATACTGAATTGGGAATCAGGAGGGATCTGGGTTCGAGTGTGACCTTTGATGTTTACTAATCGTGTGATTCTAGGACTGCTGTTAGGAATAAAGTTCATGTGGTAAAGATGTCCTGGAAGTTGGAGTGCTGGGCCAGTCACTGAATCATCTTGCCAGGAATCGTATTAGTCATGGCTTTTGGAGAAGGATGAGAGGTGGGTGTTGCCAGCGTTTGGCAAGATTGTCCTGGTGAGCATAATAATATACGTACAATGCTTTGCAAACCCTAAAGTTCTGATTAAATGTCAGTTGTTCTATTGAGCAGAACTGTTTGTTAGTAATCTGGAGGACATTCTTGAAAATTCATTTCCTCTTGGTCAAATAAACCCTTTTGAAATTTGACATAAATGCAATACTTGGGCAGGTATCAAAGGAATAGCTGGACATAAAAGCTTGAAGTATGCTGTAATGATTAAAATGTCATCAAGTATAAGTGATCAAGAATTGATTCAGGAAGTTCTGCTGGGTATTATTATGAGATCTTGAAATGTGACTGAGGCACTGCAAAATTCCAATACCATTGTCCGGCATGTAAAATACTATTTTGTGGAAAATTTTACTTTCTACTCAGGCTCTGTCTTGCTCTACACTAGCTTGCATGTTCCTATGCCTGTTTGGTCTTAGCATGTACAGCAAAGGGACAGCTACTTTAGATTGTGAACTGTTTGAGGGTTCTGTCAGTCATCAGTGCAAAGATACGAGCCCTGCTCTTCTTACCTATGGATAAAGTTAGAGTTCTTGCTTTCAATGAGTGGATAAAACCCCATTCCAAATTTTCCCAGATGTACCCTCCAGCTCAGGGGCAGAAGAGAAGTAGTTTTGAGGAAAGCACTTGCTTTTTCAAAGAAAAAGTAAAAAATCCTTTCTTTCTTCTTGTGAGGCAATTGAGGTTAAGCGACCTGTCCAGAGTCACACAGCTTGTAAGTATTATTTGTCTGAGGCCAGATTTGAGCTCAGGACCTCCTGACTCCAGGGCTGGTGCTCTATCTGCTGTGCCACCTAGCTGCCCCCAAATCCTTTCTTTCAAGGAACTTAGATTATATTGGGAAACATTACAGAATTTTTGTTCTTGGTTAGAAATAAATCAAGCAGCAATATAGTTAGTTTGGGAAAGACAACACTCTCTTTTGTTCAAGATGTCTGGAAGTCAGTGGCAGAATTCTGGGACAAATTTGCCAAGCTTGGTGATAGCTATTGTTGCTAGTGAGGATAAGAGCTGGATGTTGCCAGTAACAGGCAGGACTGGTCTGGTGAACCTATTGCTCTGGCTGCCCTGGGACACTAATGAGAAACTAGGAATTCAGCAGTTTGGGTACAGAAAGGAGTTCTGTGATGGCCACAGGCAATTGTCAGGGGTGTGGATTTCCTCCCCTGCCTAGGAAATCCAAAGAATCATGAGATAAAATCAAACTGAACGTTTTGTGGTTCGTCAGGCCAGCATGGCCAAAGACAGGTTTTATGGGTAAATAGGCCAACTTATAGGGGAAAACCATCAATTTGCTCTAGTGGGACGTTGAGAGTTTGGGAATGTTTGTAGACCTAGGTCTGCCCAAGGACATTGGATGAATCTCTCATATCAGTCAAAAACAATATTACTCCAGCAGGATGGGAAACTTGTAATGTTAAGAGAAGATAGGATATTGTTAGGGTACATATTTTCCCATTTTCCCAGGTGGATGTGCCACTGGAATCATCAAAGGCAATGGTGTGCTGATAAATGTTTAACAACCAGCTCCCAAAAAAACATTTTTTTGAAGCAGGGCACACTTTTTTGTTTACATTTTTCCCATCGCTTTCTAGACTGTTAGCAAAACAATAAATCAAGCCCTGATTTGCACTTGCTTCTGAGGTTTAAATGCTGATACTGAACTGGCTGTAACACACCTGTGATCAGAGATACTGTCAATGTATTACAGCTAGGATCAGATATAGTGGTGGAGTTAATACAGGGAGCAGAGAGATGGTTGACATTATTGCTATAATTATCACTAAAGTTACATAGAATCTGAACTATTATTTGAGTTGGAGTGTTATGAAGTTTCGGGTTTGGGTTAGGGCCTAGGTTCACATTAGGGTTAAGTTGTGGTCAGATATTTCACTTGTTTTAGTGGTAGGCTTATATTTTATAGTTATGGTTAAAGCTTTATTTAGGGTCACAGTTTATATTCAGCCAATGGTTTGGCTTTTTGTTAGAGTTTGGATTATGTTGTAGATCAGGATTTGTTCAGGGTCATGGTTAGAGATTTAACTTTTTGGTCTGGGCCTGTGATTTCATTTGTTTAGGAATCCCCAATATGGAAACTCCCCCTACTGATATAAATCAGCAAGTCATCTAATTTATTCTTAGAGAATTGTCTGGAACCATAAGAGATTAAATGACTTGCTTATGATCACGCAGAGATAGTATATATCAGAAGCAGGATTTGAATCTGTGTTTCCTTTACCCCAAGGAAAGCCCTCTATCCACTAGGTCATGTTACCTCTCACTATATATCCCATCAATAAGGTGATGCTGATAGTTTTTTCCCCCTCAAAACTGATGACTATCAATAATCCCTACTCTTTACCTCAAGAGTTTTGCAATCTGGAATGTGTCACCCTGGGGGAAAAGCAACAGCCAAAGGTATAGGATATTTTCAAGTACAACTCACATAAAAACACACTGACTTTTTTTCTTTTTCTTATTATTATAGTATTTTATTTTCTCTCAATTACATGTAAAAACAATTTTTAACATTAGTTTTTAGAACATTGAGGTCCAAATTCTCTCCCTTCCTCCCTCTTCCCTTCCCACCCCTCATCAAGAAGGCAATCAATTTGATATAGGTTATATATGTGTAGGCATGCAAAACACATTTCCTTTTTGTCATGTTGTGAAAGAAAACACACAAAAAACCTCAGAAAATAGAGAAAGTTAAAGAAGTATGCTTCAATCTGTATTCAGACACCATCAGTTCTTTCTCTGGGGATGGATAGCATTTTTCATCATAAATCCTTCAGAGTTGTCTTAGATCATTGTAGTACTGATAATAGCTAAGTCATTCACAGCTGATGATCTTATAATGTTGCTTCTACTTTGTACACAGTACGTGTCACTTTGCATTAGTTTCTGTAAGTTCAGGTTTTTCTGAGAGCACCCTGCTCATCATTTCTTATAGCACAATAATGTTCCTTTACAATCACATACCACAATTTGTTCAGCCATTCCCCAATTGATGGGTATCCCCTCAATTTCCAATTCTTTGCCCCCAGAGAAGAGCTGCTATAAATATTTTTGTACATATAGGTCCCTTTCCTTTTTTTTTTTAATCTCTTTGGATATAGACCTAGTAATGGTATTGCTAGGTCAAAGGGTATGCATGGTTTTATAGCCCTTTGGGCATAGTTCCAAATTGCTCTACAGAACGGTTGAATCAGGTCACAATTCCAGCAACAGTGCATTAATGTCTCATTTTTCCCACATTCCTTCCAACATTTGTTATGTTCCTTTTCTGTCCCTATTAGCTGTATCTAATAGATATGATCAATCAGACCAGCCACCCCCTCATTTCCCACCCAGTTGCATTCCTTTGAACTTCTCCATCACTCCTCCCCATCATCACTCTCACACCTTTAAAGTTACTTCTTTCCCACCTCCTTTCAGCTTCTTTTTGTGTATTGTCTTCTCTTATTAGATTGTAAGCTCCTTGAGG